GGAACAGAAAGGGATCTGTATATGATCTTGTCTAAACACCCCTCCAGCCAGCCAGTGTGTGTTGGTGTGACTGTACCAGTTGTTAAAATATTGCAAAACTTCCCTAACAGTTTATATATAGCTGCTGCTCCAAGACTCTTGAATGACTGGCCTTCCCCCTCTTCCCCTGGCAGCCCTCAGACAGAATCCCCACAGTTCAGCAACAATGAACGTTTTACGATTAATATTTTAGCACAAAACTGGTACCCCCAGATCCCTGCTTCCCCGATGGGACCAGAATCAGTTCTGACTGGTTCTTGACTATGTACTGGTGTTTAAACACTGTTTGTATAACCATGAAGTGCACATGTGTGCACGCACGCACACACACACAGACACACCACAACGCATCACACTATCATGTAGGCAGAAAACCACTCAATGAGGAGGTGGTTGTTTAAAAGCACTCAGCAGGCATATCTGTGCCTGGAACTCAGGTCTCCTGACTACATAAACCCTAACCCCATAAAGCCTCATCCAGGGATGGTGGTGGGTGGGGGTGTCCCCAGCCCCCAGAGCTCCTGGGGTCTCCCCCTTCCTTCTCTGAGGACAGAGCCCAGCGTGTGTGTCCTCTCATGGCCTCGCACATGCCCTCTTTGTTTCTCCAAGGAGCCTTTCGGAAGAGGAGAGCCCCTTCCCACCTACTTCCATCCTCTTCCTTCTGGCCTGCATCTTTCTCAGCAAGCTTCTAGCCGCCACTGCCCTCTGGGCTGCAGCCTGGCATGGGCAGAAAAAACGGCCACCCCAGACCAGTGGATCGGACTGTGGCCACAACCCAGGTCACCAGCTCCAGACTGTGACAGGTGAGCTTGGAGAGCACAGTGGGGGCCGGAGGCTGGGGGCCGGAGAGGTGGGGCAGAGAGCTGCTGAGTGAGAACCCTGTCTGTTGCAGAGCTGAGAGACGTATGAGAGAGAAGGACCCTCGGTGGAGAGTTTCAGGAGAGGTCTGCATGGATTACCCCAGCTTGCTGCACACTCTCCCGTTGGCCACCAAGTCTCCTGGCTCTGCTTTGGCAAAAGGCCACTCTGCCTCTACCCTTCTTCCTCTGGCCCGTGGAAGCGCGCACGTGCATGTGTGTGTGTGTGCGCGTGTGCACGCATGCACGCATGGGAGGTGGGAAGGATACTTCCAACTTCTGGACATTGGTCATTAAACACTCTCACAAGTAAACCCAAGACTTCATGTTTATCTGATGGTTTAGGGTGTCATGAAGGTCTTCTTTTTTGCTACAAGGCTAGTAGAGTGAATACTGATGAGGAGAAGACAGAAGGTCTGGCTCCTTAGGGTCCAGGGTCTTAGAATACCACGTCCCTCCATTTCCACAGGCTCCAAACTGGCCAGACTTTTTAAGTCTTCTCTCTCCCTCCCAGAGATCTGATTACCAAGCCCTGAAGATTTCTCTAGCATCTTCTCTCATCCTCCTGCCTCCTGTCCACCGGTTCCCTATGATTATTGCTGGGCCCCCACCCTAGGCCCCTTCCTTCCTCTGCCTGTCTCAAGCCCCCCACATCCATCCAGTTCCCAGCTGACTCATCCATTTATCTCCCTAGAGGTTTGTTTTTATCATGTTATGCTCCCTCTAGAGAAATGGCAAGGGCTTGGGTTGTTGGCGCAGTGTACCAGATCTGGGGACTACTGCTCCAAGCCTCAAGCCTCTCATTGTACAGAAGGGAAACTGAGGCTCACAAGGGAAAAGATTTACCCAGAGTCCCCTGTGCAGCCTGGAAATCCTACTTTCACTTGACATTCAAGGTGCCCTTCCATCTAGCTCAACCCTACTTATTTATTAAAAATAATTCCCCCCTCTTTTTTTTTAAGCTATGCTGCATAGCTTGCAGCATCTTAGTTCCCTGACCAGGGATCAAACCTGGGCCCCAGCAGTAGAAGTGTGGCGTCCTAACCACAGGACTACTAGGGAAGTCCCAATCCTACTTATTTATTCATGTACTTATTCAATAAAAATTGATATTTTCTGTGCCAGGTACCAGTCTAGGCATTGGAGACATACCAGTGAACAAGACAAGCCAAGATTTCTGCCCACACAGAGCCTTGTTCTCATGGGAAGAAAGCAGACAGACAAATACAATGTTGGTCAGTCAGCTGGTTGGGAGTATGGGAGGGCAGAAGGCCCGGGGAATGATGCAATTCTAAAGGGTAGTCAGGAGGCACCACTTGAGAAACACCTCAAGGAAGCAAGGCAGGGAGAATATTCGAGACACAGGGGACAACCAAGGCAGCTCAGGGAACCGCATCTCTCTCTTCGACACATACATACGCCTCCTGGACCAAGAATGAGGCGGAAACTAGATGGAAGCTGCCCCGAAGGCAGGCTGTCCTCAAGAGGAGGAAGTGAGTTGGCCATATCCGTAGGTTCTCTGTCCTGGCCTCAGAGAGGTGGCAGTCCAGGAGGCCCTGTCCACGGCCACATGTGGCTGCATTGCTCCCTAACCTGGGTGTGGGTCCCTGGAGTTTTGAATCCCCGGGAAAGAGCCCCCGGTGCAGCCCTGCGTTTCAGCCTCGTGTTAACAGGTCACCCACCCCCCTCGTCACAGCCCTGCCCCACCTACTCCCCCTGAGGCTGCTCCGTGGGCCTCTGCCCCCAGCTCCAGGACCCTGGTCCAGTCTGTTGTTTCCTTGGCTTCCCTGACTCAGCTGCACTTCAGTGAAACTCCCCCGTCGGGTCCTGGGGCAGTTGTCTCCTTCCTGCAGACACAGGCACGGTCTAGGAGCCGAGACCTAACAGAGTCCAAACTGAGCCCACGCCAGCGCCCTCCCTCCCACCCCGCCTGGGCACCGGGGGTGACGGGATGGAAGGGGAGGCTCCGGGGGTGTGCCTGCTGGTGGAGTGCTGCTGGAACGTTCCTCCTCTTGAGAGCTCAGGCTTTGCTCCTTCCTGCTCGGCCATGTCAGAGACATCCACCCTGGGATCCCCCGCCTTTCACTCTGCAGTGCACACTGATCTGAAAGCGTTTTCCAATTTCATGTTTGCCTCCTCAAGAAACCTTAAGCAAGTTCCTTAACTGCTCTGAGCCTCAGGCTCCTTGTACATAAAGACAAACGAAAATCCCGACACCAAACCAAACTCCAATCACCCAACTTTGGTGGGTTTTTATGAGATTGAAAGAAATAATATTAAAGTCCCTGGCCAGCTGTCTGGCACATAGTAGGTCCTGCATAAGCATTGGCTTTCTTCCTCTTCTCAAACGCCTGGTGAGAGGACACCTCTCTGGATCCTGGATCCTGGCCACTTCTGTCCCAGGCCCCCAGTGGGGGACTGTATCTGTTTTAGGCACTCAGTAAATATTGAAGACAGGTCTCCTCCTCACACAAATCTCCCAGGTTGGCTTGTTAGAGCAAAAATAATTTTCTGGTAAGAAAATCAAAGAAAGCCTGATATGCCTTGGCAGGACAGACATACATACTTCCATATCACTCACGGGGGAGACCCAGCCATCCCGTCAGCTGGAGACTCTGCCAGTGTTAGCACCAAGAGTCCTGTGTCTCCAGAAAACCCTCATGCCAGGTGAGCAGGGACAGCTGGTCTCCCTATTGCCGTGTCCACGAGACTCAGCTAAACACGGCTTCCTCAGGCTCCTGCTCCCAGCTTCCCATCCTCAGCTCCCTTGCTCCTGGAGGGAGGAGGAGGCAGGGAGAGGGGAGGAGGAGGCCAGGGAGGACAGAAGAAGGGGGGGTGGTTCTTCAGGCCCCTTTCCAGGCGTGACCATCTAGGTCAGAGCGGTGTGTCCTCCTGGTCGTTCCCACCTGGCCTGCTCTGGTCTGAGCACTGGTGCGTCCCTGGTGTCAGCAGGTTTACCCTCCACATTCTGTGCAGGATCCCCAACTCTGGTTCTGCACAGGGTGATGCAAATCGGGACCAGATGGTCCCTGTGCAGGGAGTGGGTTTGTGTCATGGGAGAGGAAGCCCAAATTATGAGACTTGGAGCTTATATAGAGCATCTGGCACATTGGCCCATCTTCCTCTCTGGCGGGACAGAGAGAGACATCTTTACTTTGGAATAGAAACTGATCATTTCCAGGGAGGACGGGGAAGGATGGAAGCAAATCTCTCTGGAGCTGACACACAGTCTCTACCTCCCCGGGCATGTTTGCTCTTCAATCTCCCTGGAACAAAGCTTGGTCAGCGTCCTTTTCTGGGAGGGCCCCAAGCATGCGGAAACATGAAAATATTCACAGAGAACTGTTTTCTGACAGAGAGGACAGTGCATTCATGAAACAAAAATAATATACAATAAATGAGAAATGCTTGGAGAATCAAAAATATTATAAATTAAAAGCACTAAGGGATAAAAACTTGAAGGACAAGGATAGAAGGGATGAAGAAAAAATATGAGGATATCTTCCAGGAGTCAGAACAAAATGGACAAAAAAAAAAAAAAGGAAAGAAACCTAGACAGAAAAGCTATGAAAATGAGATGAATACAGTAGGTTCAATATTCAATGAATTATTAAAGCAATAGTGCAATTCCTGGAAGTGGAGAATGTGGTCCACACCGGAAGTGTCTAGGAAGCACTCAGCACAGGGAATGGAGAGGCCAGGCCAGGGTGCAGCATCCAGGGGGGCCTGCCTGGATGTCTCCGGAGAGCTCAGGTGGAGCACTCACATAGAATTTAAAATTAAGATGAACTCAGGACCTGGGGAGGACATTTTACTTCCCTCCTTCACAGCTCTGCATCATCAGATTCTATATTTGGAACACCCTGAAGATCATCCTCCCCCTTTCTCTAATGCTCCCTCCTCCCTCGCTTCACTCCTTAGGGGCACCCAGGATCCCAGGCTTCTGTATTTCCTTGGGCCTTCTAACTCTACCTCGCCCACTCCTATCTGGAGCACTGAGCCAACCAGAGCTTGGAACAGCTCCTTCTCCCCACCCACAGCGGGGCCCACCAGTGCCTGCTTCCCAGCCCCATGGTCACTGAGAGCCCCACGTGAGTGTCTGAGGCCAAATTTCCTGCCCTGGGGGAATGCTGTGTCAGTGCCCAGACGAGCCTCAGAGCTGACATCTCCCTGCCCAGCCATGGGCCCCAAACTGCTCCTGCTGCTGCTCCTGGGACTAGTAGGTAAGGTTCAGAAGGAGCTGCACTCTGGCCCCATGTACCCTGCTCCGTGCCCAGGGATAATTGGCATTGCCCTGGAAACTGTTCCATGTATAGGCCCAGAAGTGGACCTCTAGACCGCTGAGCCCTTGGGCAGTGAGGGGACCGGGAGGTGCCCTGCCTGACGTCCCCTCAACTTTCCTTCCCTAGGCCAGGGCTCGGCCGGCAGCCTCCCGGAGATGCTGCAGGCGCCCGTGGGGAGCTCCATCCTGGTGCAGTGCCACTACCGACTCCAGGATGTCAAGGCTCGAAAAGTGTGGTGCCGGGTCCTGCCAGAGGGATGCCAGCCCTTGGTGACATCAGCTGTGAATCGCGGGGTCCCAGTTGGCAGCCGCATATTTCTCACCGACCTGGGGGGCGGCCTGCTCCAGGTGGAGATGATTGCCCTGCAGGAGGAGGATGCTGGAGAGTATGGCTGTGTGGTGGAGGGCTTCTCGGGGCCCCAGACGGTGCACAGGGTCACTCTGGATGTGCTCCCTGCAGGTGAGTTGTCCCAGCCTGGCCAGCAGCCCTGGCCTGCCCCCTTGCCCCAAACGGCTGCTCTTGGGTCCGTGGTGGGTGGGAGCCCTTGTGGGTGAGGAATATCGGCCAAATGCCCAATATTCTTTTGACAGCTCTGCAGGGAACGGAAGCCAAACCGGGTGAGAAGTCTGAGATAAATCGGCCAAAGAGCAGTCCCCTTTCCCCTCCTATATGAGCAGGTCTCCCCACAGGAAGTCACATCCTTCTTCCCCCACTCAGGGCCTTGGCCTCCTCATCCAGCACTTTCAACATACTAGGTGCTGTTTTTTTTTCCCTTAGAAATGTTTTAAACAAAGTTTTGATTCAGACATTTCAACCAGAATTAATTTTTTGGTATGTGTTCCAGGTTTTATTCCTGTAACAAGATTAATGGCTTAAAAACTACTGAATTTATTCCATATTTTATAAGTCTTCACTAAGTGTCTAGTATGTGTCTCATGTAACAGGCAGGGTACATTCAGTGGCTGAATTCCTTTGACTTGTTCAGTTTTAAAAACAGAAAAAGTCTCATCAATATATAGTCAATATTCTCGACACTATTTCAGTTTAGAAAGTACTCTTCACAGGATTCATTTTTACAGTCTATAACTTTCTCATGTCTAAATATTTACTAAAAGAACATTTAAAAGTATTAAATATTCCCCAGAAAAGTACAATATTGTAAAAAATAATTGTTCTGTTGGGAACATGGTCAGCTACCCGAGGAAGCAGACTGTTCTACCTTCCTCTTATGGGTGTTGACATCTTTTCCATTTTCAAGTATTCCTTTCTTAAGTAATTTGTGCCAAAGACCCAAAATAATGAAATCAAGACATTTTTCCTTCTGTTTTTCTCCATCTGTTATGAGGAGGGACTAAGCTGTCATTAGAATCTCTCTTGTGTCCACAATTATTACTCATATTGTAAATATACTCCTGTTAGCTCTGGTTATCCTTTGTTCTCCTTGATGCTCTAAGGTCTAGTAACTCAAGGTTAGAACTTCCTAAATGGCAATTGGTCACCAGACAATGCACTGGGAAGGGATGGCAGGGAGACGGGCATCCTCAGTGGAACATCTGAGGTGTGGGGATCCCAAGAGCTGGAGAGGATGGATATTCAGGCAAATGGGTAGAGCACAGTATCCAGGGAGGATAGAGCGGTTTTAAAAACCAGATCAGGACATATGCAGCGAGACTGGGGTCATGGTGTCTCAGTTCCTGGTTTGGCATGGGGTGGGGAGTGGGAATGATGAATTGCTAGACACTCCTCTCAGAGGATCTTGGAGGACTGCCCGGGTTCCCAAGGCAGATCCTAAGGCCCACAGAAACCAACCCTGAGTCCCACAGATAGAAGCTGAGCACACAGTTGGAACGACAAAAACTTGTCACAAAACTGAGTCTCAGAGTCTAAGCCAAAGCTCTCACCAAGTGTCAGGTGGCATTGTGTCATTTCAGGACTGACCCTAAGTTCCTCAGCTCCAGAGCTTGGGATGGGGCTCAGCCAACCTGCAGGGTTGGTCACGAGGTTGCAGGCATGCAGAGAGGTCTAGTAGGCTGGGCCAAAGCCCCTTCAGAGACCAAGTGATGAGACCTGGGAGCAAGGTCTCCAAGGAGGTCAGAGTAGACAGACCTATTCTGGGGTGGGGTAGGGAAGTGGGCACAGATCACACAGTGGGGTTTCTGCGTAGTCTGAGCAGCCTGATTGAGACAAGGTACAGGGGGAGCAGGTGAAGAGAAGAAATGCAGAGGGGAAGGTTGACAGCTGGCTGAAGAGGGGAAGTGAGCATATTCACAGTCAGATAAAGACTGAGACAAGCCACCCCCTGACCTCCAGAATGAGGGCCCTTAAGGAATTGCCCAAGCACCCCTTTGTTTCCTATTCTGGACCTTCCTCAGCTCTACTCCCCCAGTCCCTCAGATCTCAACAAGCCCTTGAACCCTTCTCGGTGGGTATGTGCTCAATAAGTACTTGCTTCTGACTCAGCTCCTGGCCTGAAAGAGGAGGAGATCCATCGGGATGGGACTCTGGGTGAGAGCTCCTCTTTGGACTCTGAAAACAGCGGCAGCCCTTTGGATCCCAGCCAGGATAAGAAGAGGTATTGACAAGAACTGCATGTGGGTGTCTGGGAAAGGGTGATGGTGAAGATACAGCTTGTTTAGAGCCCCAGACTAAACTGAAAGGGAACCTTACAGTTCTCTCCACTCCTGGGGAACTGCTCAACAGGCAGGCAGGTAGGCATACAGACAGGCATACCTCTCCATCCCAGTTCAGCACTGAGCCCTTTATTCCAGTAGATCTCCAGTCAGGATACCCTGATAACGTGTCTCTCCTCTTCCCTGCTTGAGTCTCCCTGTTTCATTCCATTAAAAAAAAAAAAAGCTCTTTCTCCCGACCACGGCACACCAAGAACGGTACCTCTGCACCACTTCTCCAGGGTTCCTGCCAAGCAGCTCCCCACCAGCTTCAGGGCTAAGCTCACTGCCTTCTTCTTGTGTCTCAGCAGACCCTGGATTTGGGGTGCTATGTTCCTGCTGGGCCTGCTGGTGATGGTGGCCGTGGTGCTGCTTGCTGTGATGGCCAAAAGGAAAGGTGGGTAGCTCTCCACCTGCGTATCCCAGCAGGGCTCTTCTGGCCCTGTTATCAGCCACTCTTGCATTTGAGGCTGGGAATCTAGGTCTGCTCCCCCTACACGTGGGCTTTGGCAAGCGCCCCCAGGCCCTAAAATTCCCATGGCTGAAAGGTGGGGGAGAGCAAGGAGATTCAGCGGGAGGTGGCCTGGGGAGAGACAGAAATTGTAGAGGGTGGGACAGTGGCACTGGGCACAGGTGGCTGAGAGGTGGGGGATTTCAGGAGATGGGTTGAGTGTTGAGACAGGATAAAGGGAGCTGTGGAAGCAGTAAGTAGGGGAGTTAGGGCTGCCTGGGGGTGGGGGCTGGGGAGATGGAACGGGAAGACTTTGCTGGTAGGAGTGGGGATGTGAGTATGGGCCAGAACAGAGGTTTCCAAGGTTTCTGAAGAGTGCGTGTGTGGGAGGTACTGAGTCAGCACAAGGAGCAGATTGTGCTTCTTTTCCACCAGGAAACAGGGTTGCTGTCGGTGGACAATTTCAGAGCAGTGGAATCTCAAACACGGTAAGAAACCTCTGCAGGCCCCCAGCCAAATTCCCTAGACCCTCCCTCTGCCATACTCACTGACAAGTCCTGGGATGATTGGGTGGAGAAAAGACTGGAACCCACATGAGGTCCAAACCCACTTCTTAAATGCTGTTAACTTGCCCACAATAGTCTCCCACCTTCCCACTTTGCATCCACCTGCCCAGATTTAGGGAGATACTTGGGGCTTGACAATCTTCACGGTGAAGCCATCTTGCTCACAGACATACTCAGGATTCCGGAGACAGATCCAGTGTGATCCTGGACTTCCCACCTCAGGGAACCGGGGTAGAGGGAGGCATTTTCTCTTTGCCTGACAGGCCTGCTTTTGTTATAGGCTCCCTCCTCAGTGGTCCACCACATCAGTGACTCTGGACTGGCTGTTGATTTGCCATCAGATGTACCATATGTCAAGCTTGACTCACCACCTTGCTTTGATGATACCACTTACACCAACCTTCCTCCTGATTCCCTGTCAGGGAAACTCCTACCCCTAGACTCATCCTGTGTGCCCCCTCTGCCTCCTAAGGTTGAGATTATCTCCAAGCCCGTGACATACGCTACAGTCATCTTCCCTGGAAAGGGCAAGGGTGGAGGAGCCCCCTGCGAGCCAGCCCAGGAGCCACCTAATAGCCAGGCTCCACCCAGCTAGGCTGGTCACCATCCTGTATACACCCGCAGATTATCCCCAGGGTTTTGTGTAGCCATCCATGCAACCCATGCTCTAGATCCTTAGGAAATCTGACCTTTAGGATCCAGTGTCTTAACTTTTCTGACCTGGTAAGTGATACTTGGAATAATGAGGTGTCCTGGAAGCCAAGCCATGTCATGGGAAACTAGCCATGTTAGTTGCTCTGCCAAAGAACTAAATAAACTTTAAATGATAATATATGAGCTCCTGATGCTTGGGAGGGAATGAAAGGGCCCAGGTTTGACTGCTCGTGAACTGAAAAGACTGGTCCAGAGTTTGTGCTGTAATGCTCTCCTGCCAGTGGGGAAGTGACTTCCCTCCCTGGTCAGACTCCTGCAATGCAGTCTGACTTAAGGGGCGTGAAGGGGGATTTCTTCAAAAGCATTTCCTGCCTTGATCATGACACTTGAAAGTATAGATTCATTTGCTTGAGACAGAAATATCCCATTTTCTGCTTTATACCTTGTAAACAAGTGACATCTTACGATGTGACACATATGATGGGAGAAGGAGGATAATTCATCAGTCCAGGTGCTGCTAGTGGTAAAGAAGCCGCCCGCCAATGCAGGAGATGTAAGAGACATGGGTTCGATCCCTGGGTCAGGAAGATCCCCAGAAGTAGGAAACGGTAACCCGCTCTAGTATTCTTGCCTGGAGAATTCCACGGACAGGGGAGCCTGGTGGGGTTGCACAGAGTCGGACAAGACTGAAGCGACTTAGCACAGCACAAAGGAGGCTCAGGACAGGTAGGGAGGAGAGATGGGGTTAAAAGGAAACAGGAGTAAGGCCAGAAACTGAAATAGATACCAAGCCTATTCCTTGGTAGAGCAAAGGATTTTCAAGCACCAGGAGATAAAAGAGCTTCACAGACATCAGTTTTATCAGAGTTGGCTCTTTCTCAACTGTGTGGTCTTCTGGTAGCTCTGCTCCCTTGGCCTGAACTCTGAGCCTGGGAAGGGCCCAGTGAAGAAAAGGCATGCAGCTGGGGGAACGAGGAATAAATGGTAAATGTGTGGCCACAGTTAAGTGTAAATGAAGGCTAATCTAGGCTGGGTATAGGAAGGCCTTTAAGGTTTCTTCCATGACTTCTTAAACTGTTTGAAAATATTTGTCCATATTGAGATGAGAGACTTAGATGGCGAAGAGGAGGTGCTCAGGAATCCGGTCTTTTACAATCATGAAGAACTGGGCAAAAAGAGGTTTTTAACCATCTGGACCGTCTGGAAGGGCCTTCAGCTTAGTCTAGGTACCTGAGGAGAAGGGACAGGCAGGGGCTGTGCAAGCCTAGTAATGCTATTTTCAGGGAGCTCTGGCAGGATGTTCTGCGCTTCCTTTGATAGAGTCTCAGCCTGTGATAGAACCTAAATTTACTCTGTCCCTTGTGGAGGCAGCAGCTCCCCACCAATCAACTAAGCCCTCATTTACCCTGGCTAAGATGACTGGGGACTTTCCTGGTGGGAAGGCAAGATGGGGGAAGGGCAGAATAAAGTCTAAAAAGCACCCCTCTGGGAGAAATGACTACAATTGGTCTGAATGTAACGTTTCAGAACCTGACAGAAGTAGAAGTATATTTAACAATGCAAAGGAAAATACTAAGATAATCAGTTGACTGGTAGCGAAGAGTGAAGGAGGAAAGGGAAATATATTAATTCCATCAATGCCTATGACAGAAAGTCTATGAATTATAGTCACAGACTACAATTGGTCTGAATGTAACGTTTCAGAACCTGACAGAAGTAGAAGTATATTTAACAATGCAAAGGAAAATACTAAGATAATCAGTTGACTGGTAGAGAAGAGTGAAGGAGGAAAGGGAAATATATTAATTCCATCAATGCCTATGATAGAAAGTCTATGAATTATAGTCACAGAGTCACAGTTATAAAAGTAACTTCTAAAATGAAAGTACTGAAATAAATTTCATTTATTTTATAAACACAAAGTAAATGCAAATGACATGGTGAGATGACTGCTTCACATTAGAACCTTTGGAACTCAGTTAAAGAAGCTCTCAGAGGAAAATACACACCCTTAACAAGAATTAAGCATCTTACTCAAACAGCTAGTTAATTTTAAAGGAGAAAAATGACATAACTAATACATAAATAAGTTTGTTCTTTGAAGTAAACTGAAATAAAGTGTTAGCTAACTTACTAAAGAAGATGGATGAAATAAACAACAAGGGGGAAATAGTCACAGATAAAAAGACAACAACAAAAAAATAAGAATATTTTGTGCTAATGGTGGTGGAGGAGTGGGAATGACTAAAGGGGCCTGAAAGAACTTGTGGGTGTAATTAAATGTTCTCCATTATGACTGTGGTAGTTACACAGTATATACATTTGTCAAAATCTATCCAATAGGCGTACCTTACTGCATTTAAATTATATTTTGATAAAATTTATTTTACAAAGTATATGAAACTATTGGGGAATAGTTAGAACAATCTTAGAGAAAAAAGCTCTTTAAAGTATCATACAAAACTCAGAAGCCATAGAAGAATTCATAGTTACATTACAACTGACACATTAAGATAAATTAAGACGGATACTTTTCCCTCTATGACAAAACACTATAAATTAAAGTCAAAAGACAAAATAAGGAAAAATTTTGCAACCCATATAAAGGCAGGGGGCTCATTTCCCTAAAAAGGCAGATGGCTCATTTCTCTAACTCCTACATTTCAAATAGAAAACAAATACTTAATAGAATATGGTCACACGATATACACCTATAGCTCACACAAAAAGAAATGTAGACATAATAAAGATGTTTAACTTCATCTAAGGAAAATACAAGTTAAAAGTACATTGAGAGTAGTTTTAAAAGAAAATGGTTAAAGAACTCTGAAAATTTTCACCTTCATAAAAGAAACAAGAAAACCGGTAAAAATACAGTCAACTTTTTTGGAACTCTGGAAATTAACCAGTGGCTTCCATCAATCCAAGGAGTGTTAACTCAAGAAAAATGGCTTCCCCCACCCCTATTCAAGAGACAACTTTATAAAGCAATAATTATATACCTGTGCTGATGGGCACACCATTTATTAAGATGTAACTTTTATGACAGAAACAATATGAAGAGGGAGAAAGAAGGAATGGGGCTATATAGAATCAAAGTTTTTGTATCAATATATTATTAAAATTAAGTTATATTAATCTGAACTAGATTATTTAAAAATGCCAACTATAATATCTATAGTAAGAAAATACTGCAAAATTATACAGTAAAAGAAATGACAAGGAAATTAAATTATCTAATATGACAAAAGACAATGGCAAAATAAAGGAGAAAAAAGACATAAAACTAGTAGAAAACAAATAACAAGCTGGAAGACATAAATCTTACCTTATCGGTAATTATACTGAATGTAAATAGATTAAACATCCTAATTAAAAGGTGGATATTAGCAAAACTGATTAAAAAATATATGATTCCACTATATGCTGCTTCTAGAAGACAAATGTTAGATTGAAAAACACAAGTCTGCTGAAAGTAAAAGAATGGAAAAACATATATCATGCAAACTAGTTACAGAGCACTGGAGTAGCTATACTATCAGACAAAATAGGCTTTAGGACAAAAATTGTTACTAGTGACAAAGGACATTTTATAATGATAAAAGAATAAATCCACTAAGAAGATATAACAATTATAAATATATGTGTACCTAACAACAGAGTTTCAAAATACATGAGGCAAAAACTGACAGAACTGAAGGGATAAATAAATTGTAATGGTTGTAGACTTCAATATTCTACTTTCAAAAACAATATAGCAAGGAGGTGGAAGATCAACAACAAAAGAGTAAACATGAATAACACTATAAACCAACAGACCTCTCAGATATCTACAGAACACACCATCCAACAAAGCTGAATACACATTCTTCTCAAATATACATGCAACAGTCTCTAGGATAGAGCATATGCTTGACTATAATCAAGTCTAAATAAATTTAGAATGACTGAAATTATATAAAGTATTTTTTCTGACTATAATGGTATGAAACTAGAAGTCAATAACAGAAGCAAAATTTGGAAAGTCACAAATATGTGGAAATCAAACAACTCACTCATAAATAACAAATAGGAAAAAGAAGAAGTCACAACAGAAGTTAGAAATGAATGAATACTTTGAAATGAATGAATATAATTATGCAACAAACCAAAAGTTAGGTGATTCAGCAGAGTCAGTGCTTAGAGAGAAATTTATAGCTATAAACACCTATGTTAGAAAAAAAAGAGAAGATTTCAAATTAATAACCTAATTTTCATCTGAAGAAACTAGAAATAAAAGAGCAAACTAAACTCAAAGCAAGCAGAAGAAAGAAAATAATAAAAATTAGAGCAGAAATAAATGAAATGGAGAACAGAAAAACAACAGAAAAAAAAATCAACAAAACCAAGAGTTGGTTCTTTGACCAGATCACCAAAATTGACAGATATTGGCTAGACTGGACAAGAAACAAAGCGAAGATGACTCAAATTTCTAAATCAGAAATGAAAAGTGAAGGAGAACTACTGACCTTATGAAATAAAAAGCATTATAAGAAATATTATGAACAATTGCATACCTTAGATAACTTAGATGAAATGGACAAATTCCTAGAAAGATGTAAACTACTGAAAATGACTTAAGGAAAAAATAGAAAATCTATACCATGTAAAGAGATTTAATTAGTAATCCAAAAACTTCCCACAAAGAGATGCTTAGGACCAGATGACTTTTCTGGTGAGTTCAATCAAATACTGAATGAATTTTAAAACCAATCCTTCACAAACTCTTCAAAAAAACAAGAAGAAGAAGAAGAAGAGAAAGGAATACTTACCAACTCATTCCTATGAGAGCAGTTTTACTTAGATACAAAAACCAGACAGAGATCACAAGAAAACTATAGGCCAACATTCTTTATAAATGTAGATGCAAAAAATCTTCAATGAAACAGTAGCAAATAGGACCTGGGAACAAATAGAAAGGATTATAGAGCATGACAAAGCAAGACTTAGTCTAGGAATGCAAGGTTGGTTCTACATTTGAAAATCAGTATGATACACCATATTAATAGAAATTCCTCCCCCCAAACCACATGATCATTTCAGTAGGTGACAGAAAGTGTTTGGTAAAACCCAACACTCTATCATGATAAAAACACTCAACAAACTAGGAATACCACAGAATTTCATCAACCTGATAAA